TCAGAATAACCTGCTGAACTGCACTTCCAGCCTTTAACTTTCCCACCTCGTGCAGTGTAATTAGAAGCAGCTGGTAACTATGGAAACCAGCAACTGGAAAACGATCACCCTCAGGCCTAACAAGTACTGAGAAAAATATACATTTTTAACTTGTATTGCATCCTAGCATATGTATATACTGTATAACATAAATGGGTGCCTGTAGGTGCATACCCTTGTCAGACTTCTTATTTGGCTAAAATTAAATTTTTTTTTTCACTTCATTATGTCTGCAGTAGAAACATAAGATGAGTAGGTCTGCTCGATTCTGCCTAAACTATGAATCATGATTTTTTTTCACTCAGAATCGAGATCATAATTGTCTCACATGTGTCTTAAACAATATATTTCTCTATTATTTTGCCTTACAAATAAAATTGGAACAAACATGTAGATATGTACAATATCGGACAGTATATAAACTTTATCAGTATTCAAAGTTAGAAGCGCCAGAGCTAAAGACTATTGAAAAAAAGAAAATGATTGATTGCAGGATCAGTCATTTTCCATAGTAGAGGATGAGGGATTTCATCGGCTTGTTCATCACTTAGATGAGGTTTCAAAGTACTGACCTGTAGCCTGTTTACAATTTATTATGAAATCTTAATTTAGGCCTGTAGATTAATGAAAAAACATGATGCAACAAGCTTTCACCCCCAGCTCTTCTGCTTGTCAAGTGGCGATATTAGACAAAAATGTAACAGGGAAATCAGTATTAGTTAAAATTTTCATATTGGCGCACCACGGACAATATGTTTTTTGCAGATCAGAAATGGTGCACCAGAATTTAACAAACAACTAATTAAAAAGTAATGTTAAACATAAACTTCGTTATATATAAAGAGCCTTGTTTGTTCTTAATTATAACACCTGTTTTTCTTACCCCCTCTTCCTGTCATATAATGCAGTCCTGTCACAATAGGTGTGGGGGTGGGGTGTGCATATCTTGAAATAAAATCCAGCAGGAGCATAATAGGTGAAATATCAGACAAATTGTTTGTGCTAGGCTTGCTGGCACATCTGTGATCAAGACAGCATGTCCTTGTGGTGTATCGAGAGCCATGGTATCCAGGGTAATGTCGGCATACCACCATGAAGAATGGATCACATCCAACTGTGCACCCAGGAGGAAGCTATCTGAAAGGGATCCCCAAGCACTAACCCGGACTGTATCCAAAAAACATCAAACTACAGCTGCCCACCTCACTGCAGAATAAATGTGCACCTTGACTGTCCTGTTTCCACCAAAACTGTTGGTCAGTAGCTTCACAGGGTCAGTATTCATGGTCGGGCTGCTATTGCCAAACCTTTGGTCACTCGTACCAAACATCTGTTTCAATGGTGCCAGTAGCATACATCTTGGGCTGTGGACAATGTGAAACTTGTTGTTCTCTGATGAGTCCACCTTCACTGTCTTCTCCACATCTAGGACAGTTCTGATGTGGAAAAGCCTCAAGAAGGAAGGAGTTTCTCACCCATACCATGTTTGAAAAAAATCTGTAAAACACTTTTAGAGTTACTGTGTTTTCTTCTTTTTGCTGCCAGTGTGATTCTATCTTTTTTTCTATCAATTTGTCTGAAAATGAAATCAGGTGTTCACATTTCTCCATATATCCACCTGAGACCCCACCCATTCATTTATGTCCATTGTAGTGGACATGTTGTTTTTGCATCTATCTTTTCACTGATGTAAGGAAACGTATTTATTCCTGTTGTACACTGAAGGGGACATGCTGTGAAATTAAAAGTAAAAATACATTTGAAAAAATCTAAATTGTAAGATGTCTTATTTCCTCCAAAGACAAATAACCTATAATTGACGGACACTTTTTTCTTTCGGTCCCAGGAGGATATTGTTTTTCCAAAGCAGTAATAAGATCCATCAATTCACATTCGCAAGGTCAAATGTGGTCTGTTCTCACCCTTCCCTTTGCTGCCACTATGCAGCAGTATGTCATTTTTGGGGTTTATAAACATTTGATCCCTTCCAATTCGTCACCCACGCAATGCATCCGAAAAGGATCTACAGTATCAAACAGTTTTTGAGTTATTGGGCCCTGTTTTACACCTGGTGCAAAGTGGCGCCAGGTGTGACCCAAATGTCTTTGCTAGCATTAACCCAATGCATCTGTCGCTTTGCTGTCTAGTACCCACATTGATTAAATAGCAAATGTACTCGTGCCCATCTGAGCACACATGAGCATATCTTATGTCTTAAAATGAGGCGGAATCAGGTGTTTTGTTGGCACATCGCTATCTTCAGCCAGCGGAATGTGATTGTGTTATTGACCAACAAAAACCTGGTGTGAAGTCAATGGTGCAGTATTTCACTGTTATTTAGCTGTGTTAGGGTGTGTTATCAAGATAGTAACATGCCTCTACATTGGCACATGCACAGTGCGTGTACACTGCACATAGGCGTGTACATAGGAGTGTACACTGCACAAGAACACGTAGCAGTGTGCAAGCATGCAAAAGATTGAAAATAATAAAAATGACAACGTGAAAGATCATTAATGTGTACACCAAAATATTTTCAAAAACATATGTCATAATGGTAAGTCAGAATTCAAAATGAATTAATTCAGTCATTCCTGGCAGAGAGTTTACTTTCCCGTAGTTATAAGACGACATTTGAGAAAAAAAGTATTTTGATTGACTGTATCCTAAATATTTGGGCATCTCAGCTTTTTACAATTAGGAAAACATCTCCTCATTAATGCCAAATGCCCTTATAAGTCTCAAATGAATGGCCTAAGTGTTACCTTTGGTTGAAGTTATTGCAGCTCAAGGGGATTACTGAAAGCACAGCCTCACATACAGTATGTGTTCCATATGTGTTATGCGTTGCATAATTTTGTATGTGTAACATTTTGTGTGCTATTTTTACTGGGTTCTCTATTTTTATTACTTGCAAGAAGATCTGATTACATTTTAAGTCAAATATCCAGAAATAATAACGACAATTCTAAAGGCTTCACAGACTGCAACGTCCATGTTTAGTGTCTAGTAACATAAAGTCAAGACAAAAATCCTTTTGTTAATTTAACAGTTACAAGAAGTAACTTTGGACTGGATTCCAGGTAATTCATGTTGTTCTAATTGATGAATTGAAGTGCAAGGAACTAAAATGATATATATCTGTATTATAAAGTATTTGGGTATATGCTGCTTATTTCTCTTTAATGGAGGCAAGGGTAATTTTAGTTTCATTTCACTGGGTTGTGTGTGATACTCTAAATGCTAAAGCACTGCACAGTAAACTTTCTTTACTTATGCTGTGCCCCACTATAGTTAGTGAAACTAATGTGGTAATGACCTGTCACTAGATTATGGGCAATGTGTTATAATTCTGACCAGCACCCACTAGATTTAATTCATTTTATCAGTTAAATTGCAGATGAAAATAAATAAGGAGAAATGCGTAATCTTACAATGTAGAAGACTATTTGTTACTGACTTATGAAATGAGCAAAAAAACAGCTTCTTTTCTTCAAATTTTTCTGGTGTTACCTATACGTAAACAGTACACCTGTCTAAGTATTATTTTATAATTATCGTATTAAGGTTACCCACAAATTGGAAGGAATTGCCAACATGTACAAGTTGTCGAAGGGTAGTAGTAATAATAATAATAATAATAATAGTAATAATAATAATAATAATAGTAAACAGAAAGATATAGGCAGTATGGTTATACAGTCGGCCCCCTCATATCCATGGGGAATTGGTCCCAGGACCCCCCCCCCATGTAATCTGTAGATTACTTGTGATATCTAATACACTGCAAATAGCAAGGGAAAATACAGCAGGGAAATAAATTACTTGATCATGTAAAATATTATTTTTTTCTGCCTTAACTCTAAAGATCATATAGGCCTACCACATTTTAACCAGCGTCCTTCGTAATCAGCACAATAAAGAAGTGCAAGTTAGCGAGAAATGAGAGTATCTGGCATTCATCCTTACCGATACGGCAAACCAGAACGCTACAGGTAGGGAAAAATGAACGAAGCCACGTTACTTTTCAGCTACCCCTACCCAAATTACACTTCCAGCGTAGTGCTCAGCTTGTGGCAAATTTAAGTTTTGCGTTTTGGAACTTTCTGGGTGAAAAATATTTATTTTTGGAATATTCAGTTGGTTGAATACGTGAATGCAGAACTGGTTGGCCGATTGTATTCATAAATATGATTGACAAAACCAAAGTATCTGAAACAAATAAACATTAATCAATATAAATTATATTAACAGAAAATCATTAAATAATACATAAACAATTGAAATAAGTTGTTTCATAAGCAGAGTTTGGTAATTCAGGTCCAGAGAGTAAAAGTCCAGACTGAGATTTTGTTTCAACAAAACTGCTGAGAACTCTGTGACTGTGACTCTTTATGCTCAACTTGTTCATTGAAACAAAATCTTGGTCTGGACTTTTATTCTCTGGACCTGATTCACCCAACCCTGTTCATAAGCTAGTTATTAGCCTACCTTGGACTATAAGATAGACCTGAGAGGTCTTTGGCTGTTGTTTAGTCTGGATGGAGCAGGTGTAGGGACCTTCATCATACACGTCCACCTTCTGGATTCGTAGGCTATATTCCAGCTGACCCTTGGTGACAAGGTCCACTCGTGGATCCAGGGACCATTTGTCTTCCCCAGCAAAGATGATGTTAGAGCGGTTCAGCCAAGCCACTTTGGATACTTTGTCATCCACGTAACACCTGTTTATGAAGAGATGGAGAATCCAACACAACTGTAAAATAAATGCCATGAAATCAAGAGTCAAAAGAATACTGTACGGCCAATCTATATATAGAGAGTTTACCATACCAATCATATATTTGTTATTCCAGTTATAAAAAGTTTCTACTTCACACTGTTTTTTAAAATTAAAAATACTCCAGAAAAACTCGGCCACACAAACCATTTTACATTCCATCAATAGAGGGTACACTGCTTAAAGTAAAACTTTTGTACAGCACCAAAAACACCATTAAAAATGTTACAAGAATAGAATATACAGTAATTATTTCTTGACTGATGGTAAACTCAATCTTTAATTTTTTTTGTCTTAACACACAAAATTAATGTTGTGTTTAATATCAGCCTCGTTTTTTTTTAATTACTGTAGTTGGAAAGTAGGCAATATGCTACTAAAGCATGCTGAATTTTGTTTTCTCATCCGTGTGGGGAGCAGAACTGTCATAAAAACACATGTTGATGTCTGGATATGCCATAGTTTTTCTAACCCTAACCCTAGGTTTAGTTTGCTAACCC